GGATCATATAAATCATACATTAAAGTTATCGTATGGTCGACTACGTCTTTTGTCGCTAGTAATAAACATGCAAAAATGATGTATCTCCTTTAAAAAATATTTCGCACCGTCACTTTTTATATAGAATTTGTGAGGTGTCAAGGTCATGGAGAAAAATTGTTTGTCTTACATGTTAAAGTAGGCAATGAGCGTAAAACAAATTTAAGGTGCTCTATTTCCTATTTTTATCCCCATCTGCCATTCAGGGAAACATTCTTTCAAGGAATCATAATGGCCTCTCTCAATAAAATTATCTCGTGTAGTCAAATAATTTCTCTTTAATATAAATAAGATTTGTCTTTTGTTTTGTTTGAAAATCCCTCCACCCACAAATCACCTTGAAATATATTTGGAACTTATATTCACTTGTGTTTATGTTAGTAAAATTCTGAACATCTTTTCCATGAGACATATATAGATAAACCAACGATAAAACCAGCTATATATAGTCTCGTGTACTCTAAATATATATGTATATCATAGATTAATATTACCTAGATATAAAATGATCTAAAAAATCACGCAAGCGTTCAGTACATAGGTCTGTATCAGTGTCATTGTGACACATATCAGGGATATTACATACACAAGCTGTTGTTTAATATAGAATATATTTCACGTTACTGTTTGGTATAGAATATATTTCACGTTACTTACAAAGTTTACTCCTTATCTATTTTAATAAAAACAACCGAACTTACGAAGCACCACTTCAAAACGCCACCGGTTTCTGATTTTGTTCGATAGCGGTTGTAATCATTTGAGGATGGGTGCACTTAATGTTGAGATGAGAATAGGGGCGCACGCACTTGCTTGTTTGACAGTAACAAAAATCTGACCAGCCATTTTCTCCAAACGAAAGCGTTTTTTTTTTCCAAAGTGAAGATCAAGATCAACAAGTAGTGATTCTATATTTCTAACCCCCACCCCCCACCCCCAAAATGCTACAAAACTGCCATATATTCTTTAAAAGGATCTATGTATACACCCTATGTAAAACAAATTTGTGTTCCCTTTAAACGCACAGTGTTAAACTATTTACAATTTCTAATTTTCTATAAATGTCTGTACTACTCTCCGAAAAATGCTTTTCTACTCCAAAGTGGTTTTGACAGGTGACAACTTATTTATATCTACTGAAAATTAACCCGCATCCCCATTCCATGACACTATCTCTCACTGAACAAATCTTCGAAAGTCAATTCATGTCCTTTTTTGTAATCTTAACAGAATAATATTATATTCATACACATACGTTTTTCAAACTGAAATAGTATGTCACACATCCTGTAAATGATGACCAATTGTAGCCTTATTACTGTAAAGCAGAATAACACAAGCGGATCGACAGCAGCCAATCAAAATAATGAAAAAGTTATTGATGACTCAAATATTCTGATTAGAAACTGAGTTTACTTCAAATCCTTCTTCCTCTCTCCCTCCCTAACAACAACAACAACAACAACAACAAAAATAAAATGAAAGAGAAAAGAAGTGTTTTAAGCAACTTTTTCAAAAGAACTTCGCCTATCTTCTTTAGTGGAGTTCGTTTTATGTCTTAAAATATGAAATTTCGGCCATTATTAACGTCTGTCCTGATTTAATAGATTAAGAAAATGATTGCAGACCATTATCGTAGAAGGCGAGGATTCTTGGCTTACTGATGTTATAGAGGAGAAAGGAGATGAAAGTGATGAAATCAGAACGCTTGCGGAACGCTACCTACGTCACGGAGACCATTTACGCAAATATTGAAAGTAGGACAAATTACATTTATCTTAGGCCCGCAGAAACCTTTTATATTTCCCCTGTATGATGATCTGCAGTTTTAGTTCAGAGCTTTTAATCTTTTTTTTTTCTCAATGAGAACATTTTCTTCTATTCACATTTTTTAAAAATTTGTAATCAAATAAGGAGCGAATCAGCGCAAATTTTTATAGTGCTGAGTTAATGTACTTGTCTCACGCAGATTCAATGAACGTCAATCGAGTTTATACTCAATTGATGTTGGATAAAATGTGTTCCTGACTGCCTGGGCACGTCGCCGACAACTGAACAGATGTGAATTCCTATAATCTTAATGAAAAAGTCATGAATTCTCATGCTACATATAAAAATGCTTGGGTTTTTTTTGCTTTGTATGTTTTTTTTTTTTTTTTTAATTTTGTTTTTATCAGTTTTTCTTGAATTTTAAAGTACTATAAAATAAAACAAAGCGGTAGCTTCTCTTTGGTGAAGTGTTTCAGGTCTATGTAGTAGATATAAAAAATAAGAGCATGAATGAAACGTTGTAATAGAAAGTGTTTATCCCTGCGTCATAGAGAGCGCCCCGCCCACCATGCTATAACTAGACTTCAGATTTCCCAGTCCCTCCATTTTAGCTTCCTTTTACCCGTTTATGGAACCAATGGCAATGTCAAGCTCACTGTAACAGGATAACACTCGGTTCATCGGAAGGTGAGTTCGCTTTAATACATTTTCTTTCAGCAAATCAACCTGACTTAAACTTAAATACGTATGATAAATATGAGCCGAAACGATTTATTATTTAAAAAGATAAATATCTTAAAAAATTAAACACACAATATAATACGAAAAAAGCTTAAATGGGGGGGGGGGGGAGTCAACAGAAGTAAGTGAAGATGAAATCTTATTGAAATTTGGGCATTAGATGTGCTGTTTTGATATTTTCAAGTGAATTAATAATTAATTGTTGAAATTTAATCTTTGCTCAATTATTTTGGTTTAAAAAGAAATGTTTTCCCCTCCCTATGAATAGATTCTACAGACAAAAGTAATTTCATTTTTATTCTGCGCTTGAAAAATACAGAAAAAAATCACGTTGAATGAATAACATTTAAAGTCAAGCGCAGATAATGATGTAAAATATAAACAGGTCAATTTATTCTCTATATATGTGAGGAACCAGGAATTTTGATAAAAGTGCATATAACCAAAATCCAGGAGAAAGTTGGTGTGTACACCTATATATACTGTTGAGTAATCACATTCACTCTGAATAATTGAATTTATTTCACTCGGATTTAAATAAGTGATTGAAAAAGAAATACAAACTGAATTTACTTGAGTGTCGTGAGGGGTTTGGGGGATAGAAACTCTTTTAACACTTCCATTTTAAAGTGCATGGAAATATATATATATTTTAAGTGATGAAAATGTATATTCAATTCAATGCTGTGGTCTCACACTGAGACCTGGCGATAGTCCGCGTGTCGTGACAACGAAGTTGTAGATTATGTATTCCGAATTACACACAACAATATTGCTGACTTTTGTTGATAATTAAGTTTAAGCAGGTAACCTTAAACGCCTGCTAAGTTATACATGGAACGTATGTCGACAATTACAAAATGTTTATAAACATGTCCTGCTTTTATCTTGTCAAACTGTCTTTCATCGATTTAAAAAATTGTTGAGAAGCTTTAAATTCTTCGTGTTCACAATTTGACAGATTACAAAGTGACTGTTGACATTCAAGGCTTTTATTTCTAGATAAATAGGTGTCAGATTACAGAATTTTAAAATTCTAACCGTTTTCAATAGAAAGTTTTCAACATGATAGTTTAAGAACACATGTAGTTCTTCTTCCTCAGTTAATGTTAGGGAGCTCTGTCGTACTTTTCTGTTGCCTTATTTGACCTTATAGGAACGTTAATTTCCAGAAGACCTCCCCATCTCTTAATAAATTAATGATAAGTAGATACTATATATATATATATAATGATCTCTGTAATGTGGACCATATATTTCTTCACCGGGAGCGATGATTCGGCAGTTAGATATTCAATGATACAGTCTCGACTTTTAATCTGTCAAACGCCATCAGATAAATCTTATAATTAAAGATATACACTGAAATGATCACTGGTCTAATTGGTGATGGGCATTCCTGTAAAACTTATCACCCTGGAGGTCCCCCGGAACTTAATACACAAACCTTCAACTTAATTAATCTACAAGTTAAAGTGCACAATATTCAAGATTTCTAAAGTACACATTATTATCAATGGTAACGTTTTATCAACTTTTCAAGTGCGTTTTTTGCACTATTACTGTCAAATCGTACAGTGCTTGAACACTTTTTTGTACATGAACGGTTCTTTGTAGCTGTAGAACAAGCAATAACTAACTCGCTCAGGTTATGGGACCTATATTTCTCTAACCCTCCACAGTTTTTATGAGGTTAGAGAAATATATAGGTTCTATAACCTCTACAAGTTAGTTTCTTCTTGTTTTTCAACGATTTTATTTATTTATTTTTTGGTAAATTTTTTTTGTAAACATTAATTTTCAATCTAAAGTTGAAAATGATTTATTTGTCATGTAGTCTTATCATTTTCAACTTGAAAATAAATAAAATTGATAATAAAATTTCAAATTGAAAATTAATAAAAGAAAGTACACAGTACGATGAAACATAGCGCTAAGTAAGGTAATTTTCCTTTTTTTCCCTATATGATGTGAAACCTGTTATATATCAGTACAGAAACACGAGGCCAGAAGATCAGATTGGGACGTTGCACACGGCCTAATACAAGTGCATAGAACCCCACCCCTCGTCTTATCACCGTGTGAAGGTCCGGCCCTTCCTCAACGTTGTACTTCAGAAATAAATGAAATAGCAGGTCATAACTTTACAGACCTCTAAATGGCATAAAGCCCAAGATAGAGACTGTCCTCGCAGATTATCAATTTCAACTGTACAATGTACTTACTTTGTAAAAAGGAGAAAAAAAACTAGCGAAAAATGTTATCTTTTTTCACATGTATCATGCTTTAAGAACACGTGGAATCGGTTGTTGCAATCTTCGGTGAACCACAATTCCTATCTTTCTGTGTTTATCTCAAATTCATTACCCCAAATAAAATAAAACCCAATTGTTCATTGTCTCAAGTGCACATAAATAAAACAGCTTTAAAGTCTAGTTGTCGTAAATATCACAACCATCCTTTACCTGTTTAAAAAATAAATACGTGGATTCAGGAGGCATTAATGCTCGCTGAGTGTGTGAATGAGAAGTGAACCACGTGTTTTAAATAATTAACATAAAACGCATGAATCGACTTGGTAGTAGCTTAGTTGATTATATATATGTATATATATAGTGTGTGTACTACAGTGTCTTTTATCGGTAAATGCCGTGCACAGGTCGACACAGCATTCTGTGGGATTTACATGCAGCTCAGGTAAGTAACGTTAAGAATTGAAGCTACTTTTGGTCAGCTATCTCTGCTAACCATTGTATAGTGTTTAACCACTGGACTGGGCTCCGATTTATCTTGGTGAAAAATTCTCTGTGCAGATATATCCCTTTCTCACATCAGTATTCTGAAAAGAAGTGAAAGTTATTTTGTTCATTATGTTACTCAAGTATGTTATCCCCTACAAAGATATCACCTATAGTTGTATATATATATATATATATATATATATATATATATATATATATATATATATATAATTTTGAAATAAAATAAATATTAGATTTTCAAATTTGTAAAATATTTAATGAATTTTTTTCTATGACCAAGCATGTCTGTATATCTAATAAAAAATGTGAAATAGCTAAACGTGATGAAAGAGCACAACCATTACAACTTCTTGGGTGAAAATAGCAAATGTAATCCTTTAAATTTACAAAAACATCAAAATAGCAGAATATAATCTTTATAATTCCCAATAATGCTGCGTTAATGCCCCAGTACGTTGAATACACGGATTACCATCCCCAAATTTCCCAAAGATTATTTCACCGATGTTTCAAAATAGCAAAAATATCTAAAAATCACTTTCAGTGCAAAACATATTTAAAAAAAAAATGAAACTCCGCATTATAGAAAATGTTTATTCTCAATAGTTCTTTACGTATTTGTTTATTATTTCAATATCAATAGTTATTAAAGTGTTTTATTTATTATTCCAATCTTTTTTTATTTGTTTTTATCTGTGGTATTAATGATTAAATACAATACGAACTTGAAGGATAAAACCATTGTACAAAGTATTTTTAAGAGATTGTAATGAACAAGAAACATGACCATGTGTATTTAATAACTAAAAACAAACTTTAGTACCTATACCACAATTAAGGACTCCTTATATATCAGAGTGACCACTTTCAACCCAAATGTCAGAGTTGTTGATAAACAAGGGTTTAGTTGTGTATCTGTATATGGACCTGCTTTGATGAATTTACCACGGTTGTCTGTTTCATAGAAAGATCTGTTTGCTGCGGTTTTGTTCTTGTACTTTTATTTAAAAGTACAAGCGGTCAGAATGTCGGTCAATGACTCCATGACGTCACAAGAGGAGTGACTTATATGGACCGATAGTGACCATACTTCGCGGTCATAAGTTCAGTGCCCCTTTGAAATGTTATAATTTCCAACGTAAAGTCAGAAAAGGAATTAAAAGTGTATAAATAGGTACTAATTGTCTATTTTGGCTCATTGATGTCCAAAAAAAGACTGACCTCTTGCCTATCAATCTGAATTGTGGCCGTACTTGAAAACAGCAATCTGTAGCGTTGGGTGAACTAGGTAGAGGGCTGCTAACAGTTAACCATGATTGAAGATATCCAACACACCGTGTGACAGTTTAACATATTTTTTTTCATATTTCAGGTGTATCTTCTGAACAAAATTAGCTGAATGCACGCAAGGAAAACACGTTAATTATTCCTTCTTTATTTACATCTAAGTGAAGGCTTATTTAATACTCTCCACAAGTATCGGATTCCGAAATGCTATCCAATACCATAACACAGAAACTCTGCCTTTTATGACGGTTGTGAAACAAACATTTAGCCACAGAAAGCCACAAACAAACGGACTATGGCTGGACTATTTCATGTCTTTTTGACCTTTGACCCAGTGTTACCAACACTGTTCGTCATCGCTGTTGTGTTACTATACAGGTACTTATAAAACACCTATTAATCCTTTGTTTTGTTCTCGATATAATCATGATTGTCAGTATCAAATCAGTCTGATTTTTTTTTTCATTTTAGTTATCTTAACAACATATACTCTGTGTTCAACAAACTAAACATACCGGGGCCCAAGCCCAAATGGATTTTTGGGAATCTTGGTGACTTTAAAGACAAGGTATTTAGTTATATATATTGGTCTGTGTTGCAGTGATGTAATATTATGGATGAGATGTCATTATAATAAAGTGTTGTATTTTTCATTTCATCATTACTCTAAATCTGAAGAAGACAATTGGTTAAATTTGTATAAGAGTATCAAATCGATCACCATATGTACTTTTTTTGGAATGATAGTAATTCCAGACTTGCTTAAAATAGTATCATTAAATCGTAATTGCAGTTTCCTCTAGAAGTGTTCAAAGAATTGAGATTGAAGTTCGGAGATGTATTTGGGTGAGTCTATTTATGGTCATTCTTTGATCTTGTACCCCTAGAGACCCAAGTAATTCGATCCTCCTAGTACACGTCCATCAGAGACCGCTCTCTGAAACATTCTGGAAACTTAAATGTCTACCAAATTGTTTTGCAAGTCATTGATGATGCAAAAGACGTTCGCTATCATGGCGACGATAGCTGTAATGTGTGGATAGGTTGTCGGTATCACTTTACACGGCTGAGTAATTTATACATAGTGCTGGGGATATGATGTACTTTAAATATGCCTGCTAATTTATTGACATAGAAACATAAATACATATATTTGACACAGTTTATTTTTTTCCGATGAAGAAGAGAGACCAAAAAAAAAACTCAGTATGGGGTAAAAAATTTCGAGGGTAAACAAGGACTAAGATTTACAAGGGATCTGTTCTACTGCAACTTCTCTGGACGATCCGGACCGTGGTCCACGCGATCTAGTGATCAATATGTCGAGAGTACTTGAACAGTCTTATGTCAATACAGCCAAAGTTCTCGGCGTAGCTCAGTGCTTTTAGGACAGTAGAGACCCGCACTCTTATTAGAGGGGGCGTAGAATGTCTTCTTTATCTGCTATTGATACACTGCAGTATGATCACGTGTTGGGCAGAAATAAATATTAAGTTCTCATTCACAAACGTTTGGACCCATTGCCCAAATAAAAGAGCTTAGCATATATCGCAAGGAGATTTTGATATTAATGTTTGGAATTTATCTATAATAAAGCAAACCTATTTTTTATTGTCATATTCAGGTTTTTCGAGGGATTTAGACCAAGTATCGTAATCAGCGATCCAGAAATTGCAAAGCAAGTCCTTGTAAAGCATTTCGACAAATTCCATGTGCGACCGGTAAATTCTGATTCAATGAAATCTTGTTTCTAAAAATATATAATTTATTAATTTCCGAGGCAAGCCATCATGTTGAAGAAATTATTTTTCCTCTTCAGATCTACAATCCATTTGTGTATTACCCTGATAATCTCAGTTTACTCAATACATACGGCGACACGTGGCGGAGGCAGCGCTCTGTAGTGGCATCAGCCTTCAAGTCTGTAAATACAGCCCATGTAAGTGATTATACCGCCCCATCCTGAAAATTAGACAATGAAACAAAATACTAAGAAAGAAAGAATGTTTTTTTAATTGATGCAGTGTTTTGAGAGGCTGCAGCACTATTTAATCCGTACACTACATTCATTTTTAGGTCGTCAAATGTCTGAATCGAGTTGCCGATAAGTTGGTGAGCAAGCTGGAGGAAAGTGCGGCACACTGTCAAAACGGGTTTGATATCTCAAGGTATGCATCGTTTATTTATCATCTGCTTTTTATATACGAAAAGTACATGTCCTCCACCTATTTATAATTCAGTTATCTATAATAGCTATAAATGTATCGTTAAACTCTCGACAGTTTCAATCGCATATCACCGTAAGAGTGCTAGTCCACTATTCAGAGCAGGGTGTTGCCAATTTATAATTGGGCTTTGTGTTTCGATGCAGATGTTTATCTGTTTGAGTCATTAAAGCACTTTCACTGTGTAAACATGCACTAGAAGGCCCATGTCAGTGTTCTGGCCCCCCTCCATCACGGGCTGGTACGGGCGCACTCTAACACGAGATTCGCCGTGCCCCCAGTTGTAGGCGTGTTGGTCTTACTACAGGGCACCTGTTGACTTTAGTCTCTTCTGTCGGGATTTTGACACACGACAAGGGGGACAAGGACATAAAGACTGTCCTCATCAAATATAATGCGACATAAACATAGGGAACTTCCTAGTCAGCAAATAATGTCTCTTTGACAGTTTGAACATTAAATGATTCAATCATTAAATGCTAGCTTGACATTTGAGGTTAAGGATATTTTACATTTCTTGTCAAAGTGTAAAGGTCTGTGCCCTTTACATTTAAATTATTTTCATGTTAAAACATACGATATTTGAAAGATTTCCACATGCAATACAAACACTTCTTTTATATCTATATGGTTATTATTTTTTCCTCTCTTCAGCTTGATAGACAGATTCTCAGTAGATGCCTTCGCCTATGCAGCTTTCAACTATAACGTCAACAGCTTGGATGACGAGAATGCGACCCTTTATCGTTATATGAAGGCGTTTAATCATTCCTCTGCCGCTGACAATCCAGCAGCAGGTCTAGCCAGTAAGTAGAGGGGCATCCTAGCTTGTCGTGTAAATCATAGCAATGAAACTTGTCTAATCCGGATGCTATGTATTCCCAAATCTTGCCTAATCCCTTTCAGTCAATTCAATTGTTTTAAATGTCTAATCCGGAATGTTATCTTATGCGGACAATTTTGATGGAACCTTTGATGTCCGGTTTAGATAAGTTTTACAAGTAGTTTTAGATGTATAAAGTATTTTCATTTTGCCTTCCCTTTGGCCAGTAAGTTTACATTTATATTCAAACTCGTCACTTAAAAACTGTAGTTTAATAACCGCCAAGTATCTTCAAGGTTTTTTGTGGCCTATTGTAGGAGTTTATGAAAGCCTAACGCCATTCCTCAAAATATTTGACAAAGAACACGCAATGTTGCATGAACTCCACGTTAAAGAAATCAGAAAGTGCATTCAGCAAGAGCGAATAAGGGTAAGACATTTTAAGTGCAAGTTAACGTTTTATTTAGAAAGACCTATAACGCGACCACTCTTAGTGACGCTTCTCTTGCTTATTAGCAGCTGTCTGAACAAGATATGGATACAGCAGAGAAGAACCTCCTTCATCATATAATGCAGGGATCCGTTCAAGTTCTGGCGGAGGACGGTAAATGGTACAGACGAGGACTGACGGACGAAGATATTGTAGCTCACATTAATTCTCTGATCGGAGGGGGACTGGGGACCCTGAACGCCTCAATAGAATTCGTCATTCACATGCTGTCTGTCCATCCATCACTTCAACAGAAGCTTTATGAAAACATAATAGAAGTTTGTGGAAACGAGGTACAGGATCTTCCTCTATAATAAGAATAAAGCATTATTTAAAAGCTATACTTCTAAGACACCTAAAAAGCATACAAATACAAATATATTTTTTAAAGGAAAATCCAACTGATCAACAACTCAAAAACCTAGAGGAAATGGACAAATTTATTTTTGAAACACTTCGACTGCTGCCGTGTGCTCCGGGGTATGTATTTGCTAGTCATACAGGAAAAATTAAACAATGCGTATAACAGTACAAACGTTTAAACGAAGATCATTTGTTATTACAGTGTAGCCAGAACATGCACAGAGGACTGTGAAATCAATGGAATTCCGTTTAAAAAAGGATGGTTTGTAAGGATTATGTTATGCACACTGTACACCGATGATTCCGTGTTCCCTAATGCAGAAGTGTTTGATCCCGAGAGGTAACTAAATTTAAACAATAATTTCTCCTGGAAAAAGGGCTCTGTATAAAAAGTAGGAAATCGCAAAGATATTATAGCAAGAGCTAATTTCTTAACTTAATAAAACTTTATGCCTAGAAAAATCATATTTCATATTTTAAGTGGATTTGTTGGGTAATTTGTAGACCACCTATTCCCCTTAAATAAAGTAAATAAAATAAATTTTATCTTCAGGTTTTCCACAACGGAAAAAGAGAAGAGACACCCGTACGCATTCCTGCCGTCTGGACAGGGACCGCGGATGTGTCCTGGGTATAACATTGCTTTGTACCAAACAAAAGCATCATTAGTCAAGATCCTTAGAAAGTTTGTCATTGAAAGTTGTCCGAAAACAGTGGTACGTATACCTAACTCCCTATTCCACTTTTCATTTTAAAGTTTTATATCACTTATAAGATCAGAAAATTAGGATGTTCTTAAAATAATTCCAGGACCCACTTCCCACTGCCTTAAGACCAATGCTTTGTCCTAGAAACGGTGTGTTCATAAAACTACGAAATCGTAGTAAAACTCAGTGAAGAATTGTGATGGTTAAGCGGACAAAAAGACATACTCATTGCATGCCAAATACGCATGCTCGTATTTGGGCAGACCATAAGTCCTTCGAAGGAGCTTAACGTACAAGAAGGAGACCGGTCATACTCAGCTTTCCTGATCAATATTCACAGAGAATTATACTCCTCAAGTTTAATTCATTCAGAACTCCGTTGTTTTGAAATGTTACACATTAGTCCGTAGTGTGTGATAAATGCTCATGACTCTGTCTGTGTGAAGTAAACGCCATTTTCTCCACGGAGGTAATGTAGAATTTTTACTTTGTTGCCATATTGGGTCACTACTGTGATACAGAACTACGAAGTCGTATACGACAGATGTTGAAGAGGACCAGACGAACTGAATAGAAATCCACTGACATTTGTATGGTTTCATATGATTAATGTTTTATTCAGACTTCATGATCATTATATGTCCATGTTAACATGATTTCAGTGATGTATATGCATCAAAATGATATTTATTTGTTCAAAAATTTGTTATGCATGCATATTTTTAAGTGCAATTTAAAATCGAAATTAAATGTTTTGTTTAATGTTATTGATTTTTCTTATTATCTAAATGCTGGAATGAACAAATTGCTTAACTATTCTATTAAGGATTGGATATTTTACCAAAAGCATGAATACAGAACACAAAGATGGTCAACATCTACTTCCTTCTTACAGTTTTGTGCATAAGATATCAAAAATATATTCCGATCGATAAGCAGAAGCAAGTGTCTGCAAATCATGGTTGCATTTCATAGATGATACATGCGTATAGAATTCTCTGCTAATATTCTATTTCTTTCAGTATTACCATGAACATATACAATAGTAACAATTAAAGAAGTTGCCACGCAAAGTTTTAGAACAAACCGGAAATTTTCAATTTACTGAGTACTTAAATCCGATTCCTTAAGAAAATATCTAATACATTTTAACCATCAGGATTTGAACAAATTGGAGATATTCTCATAGGAATAGGGGAAAATGTCACTTTTCTCTTTGGTTTCGTTTACAGAATCCGATTTCCTTCTAAATTAACAATACTATTTGTATTGAAACTAAAAATAAGTACAAGTTGGAGAATGTAAAAACTGTCACAGATTCTGTTCTATAAATGATTGATCAACAATCAGCGCGACAGGTGTACATCATGATTTAACTTACTAAGAAGATTGTATGATTTTTTTTTTTATTTTGTGCCTTTTACATATTGTTCTAACATTTTCGTCTACTTAATCAAAAAACTCATTAGGTAGTTACCTTGTAACAATTATAAATAATTACTTCTTTTTTTTTTAATGTCAATCTCTTAATTATTCAAATAGAAAATGCTTGATATTTAACAATAATTACAGAGCAATACGTATACGTGTCCTTACTTCCGGTACAGCATGATTAAATTTTGTTGTGGAGTTTGTGCTTTGCTGAGATTTTAATGACACACTTCGAATTGCAGGTTGAAATGATCTAAGTGGGCCGTTCTCATCATAATAGAGATTCCAATAGCTTAACTACTGTACCTTTCTAACTCTAATTTACTATTAATTAAAATAAGCTTTTTATAGTGTTAGTTTATTGAAGGATACTTCATCAAAGCAAATGTTTAAGGATACCACTTCTATATTTTATTTTATTGGATTAAGCAAACAGTGAAAAACTTTTAAACACGAGACCCATGAACCATAACGTTCACCTGAGAAGCTTTAGATCTGCTGTTTTCTTATGCCTTCGTAATCGAAGATTCGGGGGCATATAGTTTTTGGCTTGTCCGTCTGTCTGTTTGTTTACTCAAATTTTACCTATTTTTTAATGATTGGAGCTAGGTTTTTACACTGTGAAATCACTAATTTTCGTGCTGGTTTAACTTTTTTGTTTTTGAGGTATAAAGCGACCCACGAGTTTATGTCCACCCCGAAATATAATTTTTCACATATATTACGACTCAGCAATTCTTCATCCACGAAATCAAATCCCCATGAACCAATACTTTTTCCTCAAGTCACGAAATTTTAACCCCACGAAAATATGTGATTTTACAATATTTTTGAGTAACAACTTTCTGACCGCTTGACCTAAGAGTTAACCTTCTTTTGTAACATTCTTACCAAACTTTAACCTTGCCCTTAAATTTTGGATGTTGGTGCTAGGGCTTTCATATGTCACACGCGTATTTCAGATGAAGATACCTTTCTTTTGGTACCAACATTTTTTACCTCATGATCTTGACCTTGATCTACTTTTAAAAACTTTACTTTGACCTATGTTAGAAAAACTGTAACCTTGGCCATGAGCTTCCTATGTATATCCATGCAATATTTTGACCCGATAATGGTATTATTTCCCCCTGACTAGCCCCATGGCTTCATGACCTAACCAAACTTGAATCTTACGACCTAAGGATTCTTTCATATTTATAGGACTACAATGTAATATGGCCTTGCTATTCTGAAAAAAGATTTTCCCCCTGCTACATGCCAATAGCATGTTTTATGAAAAAACTGATCTCTGGCCATCCGGGTTCTGTAATTAAAAAACAATTTATCAATACTATTTCGGAATGAATGCATATAAATATAATTAAGTGTAGTTCTGTTACTCTTATTTTTTTTAATAATGTAATATTCCCATGTAAAATTTGAATCTCGATATAAGCCCTACCCTAGCCCCAGGGGCTATTTAAATCTTCACAAAAGAGCCATAGGTGCCTCTCCGACGACACGGCCGACTCAAGAATTTATAAGGAAATCACCTGTTTCTATTTATAGATATACCATCAAACTATGTAATATGATTTGAGGACGAGTGTTATATTTTCATAGTTGCAAGTACGTCAAATGACAGTCATTTAATTTGTTCAATTCTCTAATTCCGAGACAAAAGATTTAGAAAATCAAGAAGAGTAAAACAAGTAGCTATGAATTTGCAAACTTTAGTAAAATAGTTTAGGACTGTCTTTTCCCGATATACTTTCAAAATGTGTATATTATAACTTTCTGAAATTATGTATTTTATAAAACGTAATAAACAAAAACGTAGAAAAAATACACAAAGAAAAAAAATTAAAAAAGCATAAATGAAAAAGATGTAGGGCTCGAACTCGCAGTCACCATATTTACATTCCAGCAATCATCCCACTGCGCCAACGAAGTCAATGACGTCGAATGGATAAATTTAAGACAGATTGCTGAATCTTACGATTATATGAGAAAAAAAATTGAATATATATTTTCATCATTTTCAATATGAAGACCACCTTTAACCAGAATGATCTAAATGTAATGAAGTGCAGTCATATCCAAATAAAATTATTCAAAAGTTGTTTTTCTGGTTAAGGGTGGTCTTTGGCAACAGTTTGTCATCTTTAGGTGAATACCTCAATATTTACTATATACTCCATACAAACTGAATAATTTTCATATTTATCATATGAGGGAACTATTAATATTGAAATATCATTATTGTGTGGTTTGGTTTTACGCATGTATAAACTACGATTGTATGACAAAATTTTGGTTAAACAATGAATTTAAGAAATCACTAGTAGAGTAGGCGAAAATGCCTATCAAATGCGCTATGGCTCTTTTAATATGAATATTCTAATCATGACCAAGAGGTTCTTTTGAGGAAGATTTTAAAATATTTTTACACGTATTTTCATCTAAAATGTTTTCCCCAGTGTGGCCCCACCAAAACTCCCGGGCGATAATTCAAACAAACTTAAATCTGCACTTCATGAGCGTGGTTACATATTTATTAATATGACTAATTATAGCCTTGTTGTTCTTGATAAAAAGGATTTTAAAGATATTTTCCCCATATATTCCCAAGTAAAACTTGTTCCCCTATCCTGTCCCATCCTTCCCTCAAGGACCAAGATTTGAACAAAGTTGAATCTTTATTACCTGAAGTTTTTGCTTATTAATTTGACTGATCGTGTCCTAACTGTTCTTGAGAAGAGGATTTTATCTATGATTTTTCCCTATATATTTATTTCCCTATATAAACTATGTTCTATTGTGGCTCTACTCTGCTCCCTGGGGTTATTATCACCTATACATTGTTAGGAAGCTTGCATTAATTTTTTTAAAAATGCAGTAAATTTGTACTTATTCTTAACTATCTCCCTCTTGAAAAAGGATGTATCTCTTCATTTGAACGATTTGATTTCCCTTCACCTAAGGTTGCTTTTGGCATGTATGACTGAAATTCGCTCAATGGTTCTAGAGAAAAAAGTAGAAAGTATTGACGGACACAAGATAAAATGTGGGCAGAAAAGCTCACTTGCGCTTTTAGCTCAGGTGAGCTAAGAATCTGTGGTTTTAAGTCACAGGATTTGAAATAATTTCGGTGTTATGTCTAGATATATAAAATATTTTATGTATTCTGCACACAGCACTTCCTGACAGGTGTGTTTTTTTCGTATTAAGCTTGTTCCAGTCATTATAGCGACTATACAGAAGTTTGTAACATAAAAAAACGTCTAATTGACATAAACTGATCTGAAGCAAGGTTATGTCAGAGAAAAAACACAGGACTAACTACCAAGATCATACCATCATTGACCCATAATTGTTCATTAAAATGTAAATGGTTCACTATTAAAGTATTGCCGAAGTAGATGAATGACCTTTTGACCTCGACATTGAATAAAATTAAGATGAACGGCTATAAATGGGAAACTGAGGTGCGCAAGCCGTTTGTAATTCGACGCGAAACACATAAGTTTTGCTACGGTTTAATAATTTCTAGAGTCCTTTATGTAAGGAGAAATTATTCCAGTGCTTGCTTTGACTTCTTAACCTTTGATTGCAGCACGTGCAGCATAGCACTTTTGATGTTTTTTCCCCTGCTGTATTGTAAGATAGTCATCAGGTTACTACGACACAGTTTCTGCAATATGCTCTATGGTTATACCGTAGCATTGATTAACACGAATATCTAAGCTTCCAGCACCTGAAAGAAAAAAAAATTCCACATACTGAAGTACGATTTTCTGCAATCTTTAAATGGACGAAAAATGATACCTCTGAAATTTTCACAACTTTTCAAGAACTAGAAAGTAATAAATACAACATGAAAGGGTGTAAAAGACAAGAAAAACTTGCGAACATGACATCAATGACGCAATATTATTGAAACTGAAGATTAAAAAAAATAATAAAAGTATTTTAAAGAAATAAAATATGATAAAATTTCAGGTACGTAATACTACGAATAATAACTTAACGTGAGAATCCGTGGCATATATCTGCCTCGTATATCCGCTTATCTTTGAAGGTATGTAGACCTAAATAACAATAAGCCTCATATCAGTAATCAGATCCGGGGATTTCGCCGAAAACGATACCTATAATTGTACTTTTAACATTGGAATAAAATAAAACGGTGTCAAAAAAGCAAACATTGAGGAGGTACCGAATGAGAATACAAAATCAGAAAAACAGAAGAGTGCACACTGATTCATTAAACATGGCAATTAAACG